CATTAAGATAGCTGTGGAACCATTGTTTAGACTTTCCCTCAATACCCAGAGCTCCCAATTTTCTAAGAAGTGTCTTGTGGTTAAGGCAGTCAAAGGCCTTGCTAAAGTCCAGAAACAGACTTGTGACTGAGGAGCCGTCTTCTAGTTGTTCTATTATGTGCTCGGTGAGCTGTATTAAGGCAGTGGAAGTGGATCTTCCTTTAAGGAAGCCATGTTGCTGGCTGGTGAGCAGCAGGTTTTGGTCTAGATGGGATATTAGTCTGTTAAGGACGATTTTTTCAAAGATTTTAGAGAAGGTCGGTATAAGTGAAATTGGTCTGTAACTTTTAGCATCTGTGTTTGGTCCACTTTTATATTTAGGGTATACCTTGGCAGTTTTGAGCTGTGTTGGGAAGACCCCTTGTTTGAGAGACTTATTTAATGAGTGCTGTTAGTGGGTTAATCAGTTCATTTTTGCATGTTTTGACCAGTTTGGCTGATATTTCATCAGTGCCAGATGAAGTTTTTGGTTTAAGTGAGTCTATTGCTTTTAGTACTTCGTTATGTGTTGCAAGCTGAAATTTTAGTTTGTTAGCTGTTCAAGGAGGAATTTCAGGGGTTCTGGTGTGTGTGTTGGTGTTGTTTGCCTGAAGTGTCCTTTCCGCGGCTGTAGCAAAAAAACTGTTGAGGTGGTTAGCTATTTTGATTGGGTCCTGTAATCTCTCCCCATCTACTAGGAGTTCCCACTCATTTGCTATACTGGTACTTGATTTTCTCTCATTATTTATAACCTGCCAGAGTGCCTTGGACTTGTTGTCGGCATTGCTTATATAGTCGGATGTTTGAGTTTTCCTCAAAGTCTTTAGTCTTAGGTCATAGTCCCTTTTTCTTGCTGCGGTTTCTGCTTTGTCTTCAGGTAGACCTGTGCGGTTTTCTTTTTCCAGGGCATTTATATATAGAATTTTTAGTCTAGAGCATTCAGCATCATCCCAGCAGTTTTTTTGATTGTGTTGTTTTCTCCTTGTCATTTTTACTGGGCAGGTCTCATTTAGTATTCCTTGGATAGCCCTGTGAAAGTTGTTATAAGATTCATCGACATCTTCTATGTGGTAGACACAATCCCAGGGTTGTTCATGGAGCCTGGTTTTAAATAGATTTATGGTGTTTTTGTTGAGAGTTCTTCTTTTCTCCTTAATTGACTTTGTGATTTTTTCTGATGGTAGTTGGAGAGTGGCAATTTGGGCAGTGTGGTCTGAGAGTTCAGACAGGATAATGGATGTCTGGATATGTTTTGGGTCTATGTTTGTACAGATCCAGTCTATTGAGGTTTTAGTTTCATGTGTAACTCTAGTAGGCGGCAGATTTAGTCTAACAATGTCAAAAGAGGATAGAAGATCTTCAACTTGGATGTTATCTGTGTCGTTTGCATGTTCACCAAGGTTGTTTACATTTATGTCGCCCATGATGACAGTTTTCTTCTTTGTGTGGAGAGCATATTCCAGCTGGCTTGCTAGGATATCTAGCGCTTGTTCCCAATTGTCCCTTGGAGGCCTGTAGACTCCCATGACCTGGACTATTTCCTTTTTCAGTTTTATTTCGAAAAGAGCAGTTTCACATACTAGTTCTGAGTCGTCATCACTTATCTTAAGTACTTTCATATAATTTTCCAAGCCATGTTTGGCATATCCTGCAACTCCTCCTTTCGTATGATTTCTTCTTGTGTAGCCTCCAATTAGGGTGTAGCCAGCTAGCTGTGTGTTTTCTAAGTTTTCTCGGGAGAGACCATGCTCTGTAATAACTTTGAAGTCTGGTTGTTCATTATTAAGGAAGTGTGATAGTCTTTCTGTTTTATTAGACAGCCAGTCTATATTTTGGTGGGCAAGGGTGAGTTGGTGTCTGCGAACTAGTGGGTGTTTTGATTGGTTGTCAACACTGTTTTTAGATTTTGTTATGTTGTTGCCGGTGGTTTGGTTGAGGGTCCTAAAAAAGAGGTTTGGGTGTTGCTGGTTTCTGTACTTGGGTTGCTGCTATCTACTTGGGGTGGGATCAAGGTACTTCTAGAGGCTGGGGTTTCAGAGTGACTAATTGAGGCTGATAATCTTTCTTTGTGTTGGATATTTATGTCTTTGAAGTAATCTATATGCTTCATGAAAAAGTCATCCAAAGTTTCCTGGTCGCCTCGTATTCTTGCTGTCATAGGTGGAAGCCTTTCTTTTTGAGTCATTTTTTTAGAAGGAGTTTGGTTGTTTCTCCTGGTCATATCCGGGTTCAGTATTTTGAAAGGAGTTTGGCTTTCTCTCCTTGTAGTTTCTCGTGCCAAGATGTCAGCATCGCATTTCTGTTTTACACCATCTACCTGTAAGCCTATTTCTACATTGGCAGGTTCTTCAAGCCGAGATTTGTTTTTGGCTACTTGGAGAGATACACTGAAATGGTTTCTTTCTTTCCCAATTGGTTTTTTGCTCTTGCTTATGTTGTGGTTTTTAGAACGAGGAAAAATCTATTTAGTGGGTGAACTTTGTGTGACTGTTGATGGTGTAGCAGGGTTTATTTGTTCACCTTGTTTGTGCAGTTCTTTTTGCAAAGTTTCCACAGAGCGTTCTAGTTGGTCTTGTCGAGTTTTCAGCTGAGCCAGCTCAGTAATTAGAGAGGTACAGTAGTTGGGAACATAAAAATCGGAGTGATTTGTTTGTGTTTCTGAAGTGCCAGTAGGTTTTGGTGTCTGAGGTAGGTCCATTTTGTCATCTTGGTTTAGCTTCAGCTTGTTTATCATTCCACCTAATTGCTTAATTTCATTTGCTGAGTTGAGTAGTAGTTTTTCTCTTTCATTATCTTGTTCTTCAAAGGTTTGTATCATTTTAATTCTTAGCTGTCTTTCCTTCTCTAGTTGGAGTTCTACTTCATTTAGTGTTTCAACCAGTGAAGCATTTCGGGAGAGCAGGATTTCCTTGTCATTTTCAAGCTCTTCAATTTTTGCCTCAGCAAGGTTCATGTCAGCAAAGTTACCGTCTCTGAAGTCTTGGCATTTTAAGGAAGAGAATTTTTGCTTCATATCATGTAGTTCTTGCTTTAATTTATTATTTTCTAACAGTAAAGCATGTCCAGCTTCCGCAGCAAGTGTGAGCGATGTCTCTAGATCATCAGGATTTTGTTCTTGTTCTTGTAAATCTTGTACTTTATTTAGGACATCTCTGAGCTGCTGATTTTCTAGTGGAGGGACATTACTGTCTACTGTTGTGTTTCTGTCAGGGTTCAAGCATTTCGGGTTTGAGAAGGCACTTTCTGCTTCCTTTAAGGCTTTGTTGAACACTTTATTTTTAAAATTGTCTATTTTTGGTTTCCCATACAGATCTTTACTTTGTTCGTAACAATACATATCAGTTTCTCTAACGTCAGCAGTTTTGTTGTCGCCAAAAAAAATTACCTTATATTTTGAGGTGCAATTTTTGTCATTTGTACAAATTTCAGTAATTTTAGCTGGCCAGTGTGGGTACCCTTTTAATTTTACAAACACAATTTGTCCGGTGTTAAAGCTAGTTTTGTTGTTTATTTCCATGTTAGTTAATCCAGTTGCTGATTCAGTTTTGAAAAGATTGACTGGTTCTTTATGTCAGGGATCTTGAAGTTCAGTGTAAAATTATATCAGTTTTGAAAAGTTTGGCTGGTTCTTTATGTCAGGGATCTTGAGGTTCTGTGTGAAATTATATCAGTTTTGAAAAGTTTGGCTGGTTCTTTATGTCAGGGATCTTGAAGTTCAGGTGTAAAATTATATCAGTTTTGAAAAGTTTGGCTGGTTCTTTATGTCAGGGATCTTGAAGTTCAGGTGTAAAATTATATCAGTTTTGAAAAGTTTGGCTGGTTCTTTATGTCAGGAATCTTGAGTTTCAGGTGTAAAATTATATCAGTTTTGAAAAGTTTGGCTGGTTCTTTATGTCAGGGGTCTTGAAGTTTAGATGTAAAATTGTATCAGTTTTGAAAAGTTTGGCTGGTTCTTTATGTCAGGAATCTTGAGGTTCAGGTGTAAAATTATATCAGTTTTGAAAAGTTTGGCTGGTTCTTTATGTCAGGATAGAAATATTTAAATAAATAAATAATTTATTTCTGTTGTCAAAAATTTATGTAGAGTAATGAGGAATACAGTGTTGCACTGTATTACTGGTTGGGAGTAAGTTGTAGACACTGTTTGAAGTGGCAGTGTCTGTGGTCAGGGTGTGCTGAGCGTGCAGTCAGCAACTCTCAGTTCAAACACTCCCAGGCAGCAGGTGTCGTGTTGGAAGTGAAGAATTTGTAAAGCTGTGAGTTGGCTATGACGTCACTGCTTGGTTGTCAATTTGATACTTTGTCACAAATATATTGGTGAAATTTCTTTCTTTGTACTTTTTAATATTTATTGTGCTTTAGTGGTTTGATATATTTGCAGAGTTTAATTTAAAGAATTTGGACACTTATATGTAAATGTAAAATGTAAATGTAAAATTGAAACTTTTAAACTGTGCGATGTTTACAAGATAACCATCTGTTCAATGAATTCTTGAGGTAAATGTTATTGTTGGTATTAAACTTGTATTAATAACTTACAGTCATGTTCAGTTTGTCTCAATATTGGCTTTTCATGAGATTTTCTTGAGGGTCTTGATTAATAGTACCTTTCATGTGAAGGTGCTGATGTGTACGACCTACTTGCTTGATTTGAGGTTGATGTCTTAGAGTTTCACTTCTTCCAAAATGTTTTTGTCTTAAAATCACTTGATAAAGTTGTTGTTTGGATGTGTGATGTTTAACACATTCGCTGCGGATGACGCACTTGTGAGTCATCCGTGCGCCGCCCTATACGACGCGCCTTGCGGATGACGCACAAGTGCGTTTCGCGCCATTTTGTAATTTGCCGCCATTTCGTGCGCTTTATACTTTTGTTTTTGTTTTGACTTGTGTATTACTCCAGTTTCCAGTTACGCACTTGACTTTTGTTGCAGTCCGTTTTTGTTTATGTCTATTGGTTAGTGAACCACGTGCACGCAAACATGGACTATTCGGAAGAGTTGGTTGACGATCCGGGTGTGCCCTCCCCTTGTAGTTCCCGTGATGTGACTGTTAGCTCTAATATGACAGTTAGTGAAATTGACCTCTTTAGTGACCAAACAGACAGTAGTGAGGAATACACGAGTGACGAAGAGTACCAGCCTAGTGACGACGGCAGTGAATCAAGTATCGGTGAGTCATTAGTAGACGAATTGGAAGACAATTTTGATTACGATGATTACGATTTAGCTTGGGATGAGGACCCAAACTCCATGAAAACATTTATTTTTTCATCTCCAGTAGGCTTAAGAGTTCCAATCCCTGGGGAAAATAAACCAGCGGACTTTTTTCAGTTGTTATTTGATGATGTTCTGCTTGAGTCGATCGTTAAAGAAACTAACAGTTATGCCGAAGAATTGTTTCTATCCAAAGATCACTCTGAGAAATCACGCATAAGTTCATGGAAAAATTTAACTTTGAATGAATTTAAAGTTTTTCTCGGACTCCTATTGCACATGGGTCACATTAAGTTGCCTAAGATCCAGGATTACTGGAAGAAAGACAAACTTTTCAAAACCTGTTTTGGTGAGTACATGGCACGAGATCGCTTCCTTTTGATATTACGTTGTCTGCATTTTGTAAGAGCAGACGCAACAAGCACTGACCGTTTGCATAAGATTAGGTCAATTGTTGATTATTTCAATAACAAAATGATTAACATTTATAATGCTGGGAAGGAGCTGTCACTGGACGAAGCAATGGTCCTATGGAGAGGTCGGCTAGCCTTTAAACAATACATCAAGGGCAAACGCCATAAATATGGCATAAAACTCTACGTTTTGACTGAACCTAACGGGCTGATTCTAAAGTTTGCAGTCTATGCTGGAGCCTTAGATCAACTGGCTGGTGAAGGACATGCTAGTAAGGTAGTAATGTACTTGATGCGTGAAAAGCTGGGAAGAGCCCATTCAATCTATATGGATAATTTTTACAATAGTATAGAATTGGCTACCGAGCTTCTTGAGGAAAAAACATACACCACTGGTACTCTTCGAGCTGATCGCAAGAAAAACCCTAAAACGGTTGTAAATGCCAAAGTAAAGAAAGGAGAATCAGTTGAGAAGTACTATAAGGGTGTAATGTGTGGTAAATGGAGAGATAAGAGAACTGTTCTGTATCTCTCAACTCAGTATTATAATGAGATGGGTACAGCAACTAACAAAAGGGGTCAGGAGAAACTAAAACCCTACCCTGTTATAAAATACAATGAATATATGAAAGGTGTAGATCGTCAAGATCAATTTTTAAGCTATTATCCATGCGAAAGAAAAACCCTTAGATGGTACAAGAAGTTGTTCGTCCACATTCTTCAGATGTCCGTACTGAACGCCTTTTTCCTGTTCAACAAACATACCTTCGGTAAGAAGCTGCCGCTGTTGGAATTCCGCTTAGAAGTAATTAGACACCTGTTATCACCAGTGGACATCCAGAACCAACGACCGAGAAAAGTGGCGACAGACCATCTGCCAACGAAAAACCCAGTGGGGTGGAACAACAAGACATTGCGGCGGCGATGTGTCATCTGCTACACCAAAGGTATACGCAAAGACTCAGTGTACCAGTGTGAGGGTTGTGCTGAAAAACCAGCTTTGTGCCTCGGCGACTGTTTCAAGGAATATCATGGCTAAACATGACCTGACCACAGGGAGTTCTTCAGATTCAAACAAGAGACTTGATGGATTGGATGGAGATTCAAGATGGACTTGTATATAATATTGTATTTTTTGGTCATAAATATGTTATAAATTGTGTGAAATAAATTTTGTATTTAATAAATAATACAATGTCTTACTATTACTAAACAAACACATACAAAACAGCTGAACGCACATGTGCGTCATTCGCATTTTGGCTGTGATTTGATGTAATGTGCTAATGACGCACATGTGCGTCATTAATTTTTTATTTGTAAAAAATTGCAAAAATTACTTTTTTTATACTTTTAACTATAAATGAACTTATAAAAATGTATTAATAAGTTATTTACGAAAAATAATTTTTAGCACCCCACATACAGCCATTATTATAGTATAATATTATTAGCAGCGAACGTGTTAATTAGTAATTTTGTTGTTTTTTACCACTTAAACTACACTTTAGATATGGGAGCACTTTGCAGGTGATGCTAGATGTCCGCCATCTTGGTTTTTTTTTATGCTATATGCATATGCTATAGGGCCGGTCTCCAAAGGGTTAAAATCGATGCAGTATCATAGCTAACAGCTGATTGATTTATTACTTGACACAGAATATTGTCATTAGTTGGTGGACGATCTCAACAGATTGCACTTACGTTTTATTGCTTCAAATTTTTACATTACTTGGGAAGTTTATTCTGTATACTCAATGATACTACCTAAAGTTTAACAAAATATAAATTTTCATGAACTTATTTTCATGATTTTTTATATTGTTATCCGGACTGGCCTCGGTCCCGAGGAGTCCGGATAAGACGGAGTCTACTGTAGTAACATATTTATAACAGTAGAATTTTTTTAAATTACATCTTCAATGAAAAACTGATGTTATTGTCTCCAAGTTATTGTCACAACCCCAATTACAGTGAGGTAATATTATATTACTTTACTAGTCCTGAAAATAAGTGTTTACCATACGAGTCCGGTAAACACATTTTGGACGAGTTACGTACGATAGTTTACACCATACTAAGAAATCTTTACAAATCTTTAAATATGACCACCAACTAAAGGACTAAAAATCCCTGTAAAACTCATTACAGTACAGTAGTACGCAATGAAACCCCATGTGATTAAGCTGGCGGCTGGACTGAATCCATGTGTGAAAAGTTCATCAAAATAAAGTAGTGTGGCGTAAACTTTTTTTTCTGACAGCTGATATTGCATAGCCTCCTCCAAGCCTCAGACCCAGCGTACTAAACCAGCTGCAGCACTAATTCATATGGAACATCAGTGTTGTTTACATGTTTGTTATCATTGAAAACGGTGTTTAAAATTGAGATTAAAACATAACAGGATAAAAAATTGAAATTTAAAGGTTTGATTGATAAGTGTAAACCTTACATTTAAAGAGTTTGGACATGAATGGACGTAAAATAGCCATATCAATGGAACATATCATTTAGCTGAAAATGCAGGGGATTGCAGCCCTGTATAACAGGAGGGTATGACACAATGTAACCTGGTTTCCACTTAAACATTGGACTATCTACCCTTAAGCTCTTGGTAACTAGGCTTTACTCGGAAAATCATAGATCCCAGGTTAAGACAAAGGCTGAAAAGTTTAATACTGTATGTACTGTAATTTCTATGGAGGTTTGTCTTAACATCATTCAGACAACTAAACCAAAAGCAATATCACATCTAGGGCCACTGGATATTGAATTTGATGTTTTGATTACAGTAATTTGTAAATCGTATCATAATGGCATGATTAGTATTGTGATGTGGAAAGCGAAAAGGCACCTCTTGTCGGCGATGCAACGTTTTCAGTACGGCCGATATAAGTAACTAAGGTCGAAAATATCTAAATTTGGTTTTTTATCGATTGTTGTACCTCATTTATCATAGAACAGGATAGTATCGGTTAAAATATCAAATTAAGGATGTAAATGAGTGAGATTTGTGAGTCGGTGGCTCAGTTGGTAGTGTCGCGGACTTCGGGCCCAAGGCAGCAGTGTCGTGGGTTCGGATCCTGGTCACTGCCACAAACTTTTATCAGTACAGTTCACCTTTGTACTGTACCGGCTCACCCCTTGCTTTGCTGGATACGTTCCACGCACAGATCTGTAGTCTATGTGGACGGGCAAATGCAAGGTTAAAAGAGGCCCCCAACCCCTTTTTTTTTAAAAAAAAAAAGGTTGAAATAAATCATTTTGTTAGCCCCTGCACGGTCTGAGAAAAGGTACCTCTTGTCGCTCAATGTTATTTTGCCATAACGACAAGAGGTCCCATTTCGAATATTCACTTTATAAACGGACTTTAGTCCAAAAAATTAACTTTCCTGCATTCTAGAGGAAATTTAGAGAACTAAAACAAAGTTCAGTGTACGGAGAACAAAATATCTCACAAATTTTGCTGTCCCGGTAAGAGGTCCCTTTCCTGAAATGTGATTTTTACGGCATACTTCAATAAAACAATTATTTAAATGAAAACTACCGGGAGTTAAGACAAAAATTGGTTTTAACTCCAAAGTGGAAACTCCAATGGGGTCCATTATAAGCTTTCTTTTGATACCAAAATCGTTTCTTAAATAAAATACCCCCGCCGCAGCAAACCTGCCGACTAAGCAAATTTCCATTTGTCTGAATTGATTTTCAGTTAAATATATTTTAATAACATTAGGTTTAACGAGTACCTAGGTTTGCTGCTACAAGGAAACTAATAAAGTGTGTTTTTGAGTAAAATATTGATAGCTTAGTACAAAATAAATAAATTTGCCAAGTTTGATCAAAATATATCCATAAACAAGCAAACTACAACATTTGACAATATTCTCCTTAAGAATAACATGTGAATTTTAAATTTAAAATTTTTTTAATTTTCTCTGTTACTAATAATCGAACAAAAATACTTTTATATACTAAATTATTTGTTTTTTTAAGCTCTTTAAAAAGGTCTAAAGAGAAGTCGGGAAATTTTGTGTTTTGAGGGTCAAAAGTGAGAAAAACCAATTTTTACCCCATAAAACCCCCCGTAAAGCCCCGTTCCCATGGTCCGATCGTGCTGGTTTGCGAACTCATTCAAGTTTATCCTGCTTTACACCTTTAAACCAAATTTCATCAAAATCGGACAAAAATTACTCAAGTTATCGCGTTCATGGACGTATATATATATATATATATAAGTCTATATATATATATATACATATATAAAAATTTGAACGAATGGTGTTTTTGGCCTCTGGGGACATCGAAATGAAAAAGTAAATCGGTCCCGGGTCTAGGTCTTACCGTGCCACCTACGGTAATAGCTACTTCCCTATAGGGAAATTCGCTAAAAAAAACTTTTTATGCGTATTTGAAAATTTTAAAATGGTTTTTCTCAAAATGACCCTTTTCCATAACAAAATTTCAAAGTCCTATGACTTTAACACGTTCGCTACTGAGCGTCGCATATATGCGACGCCGCGGTCATTGCCTCAGACCGAGGTATACATTTGAATCTTACGCATGGACCGGCTGTCACTTGGATAACAGTACACACAGATCACGGGCGAAAACCTGTAAAACAGTGATCATTTACATTGTAATACGCTACAATCGTGTTTGTAAATAATTTATTCTTATTTTTTTGTATTTTTTAAAACCTTTTGTAATGTCGCATATTTGCGACGCCCGGTCTACAGCGAAGACAATAGTGAAAACTATCGTAGTTTTCTTGAAATAGACCAAACGTCTCATGCTCATTTTTGTTTTTGTTTTGAGGTGGAAGTAAGTAAATAAAACAGAATATTAAAGAACAGTTTATAACTGAACAAATATAAAAGCTACATAGGATAATGCAGCATACATACTGCATACATACATACAGTGATGCAGAAAAGTAAAGGCAAGTTTTTCCAACTATCATTAGACGTCACCAATCATCATATCCACAGACCAAGCGACGCAGTAGTGCGTCAGGCATCTCTGTAGACCACTGCAAGGAATTCAGTGGCTTCAAATAGACCGTTATAAAGATATAAGCATTTTAATAACACTAGAACCCTGACGCAAATATGCGACGGCAGTCTATTTTAATGTGACTATCCGTCGCATATATGCGACGGCAGTCTATGGGTGGAAACCGGCCGTCGCATATGTGCGTCGCTGGTCCATGTGAATGCAAAATTTCGTACTATTGCAGTAGCAAACGTGTTAACAAAAGAAATCGTAGATGCATGGGACTTGCACCAAGTGATTCGGAATTTCATAAGGAATTCAAATATATATATATAAAACTCAAAATCTAAAATCCCTGACAAGAGGTTCCTATTTGCTTTCCACATCACATATACTGTGGGAAGGGCTGATGTATAACAAATAAAGAAAAGACATTTTTGTCTTGACTTGGAATTTTTTAATTTTTTAACATTTTCCTTGACTTGCCATGACGTTTCACACCTCCACCTGAAAAAATGTAGTAAAGTATGTATTTGTTTTTACTCATTTCAGTTGATTAAATCAAGGCCCCATTAGAAAAAAAGCTATGCTGCAGGATCCATATGACGTCACACTAGTGGATAGATTCATTGCTAGATTCACTGCCATATCCCATATGTTTTAGGTAAATAAGCTGGCAGTTCGTCAGATTGGTAAGAATTTAGTACAACTATCCACCACTGTGACGTAGTTTTGCGCTGCCCGCACTGCAGCATGGTCTGATTTTCTAGTGGGGCCTTGATTAAATCCAGTTCTTTTGTCATAGATTTAAGATACATAAATTTGTCCCTGGGACATTGGTTGACAATGCCTTCTAACTTGCCGACAACATCAGTTCTTTTCTTACAATGAAGTCAGTTGGTACAATTGTGTGTTGTGAGTCCCCAATATAGTTGCAAATAGATTAAACCAACACTTGCTTTTTTACACAATTCCCTAAAAGATCTTTCACAGGTACGGAGTAAATAATCATAGAATGTAGTTACCAAATAGCCTTCAGCTCAGTCATTACTTCTGGTCCTGCCAAACTTGATCAGCATTCTTCAATGGCTCTCATTGCATCCTGTGAAAAATTAGCATGGAAGAGAAATAATTCTTAATAAAAAAAAGCTAGGTTCACAAGACGAGTTGGCGGGTAGATTACCTGCCTCGGGTAACTTCAAATACATTACACCTTTTCCAATGTTATTTGAGGAACAGTTAGGTTTATTTCAGAACATATCAATTGTATTTGAGATCAAATATATTTTAGAAAACATCAAACGAAGTTGAGAACAGTCAGTTGTATTTGAGAAGGCATATATTTAATTTAAGAGCAGTAAATTATATTTAAGAAATGGTTAAATGTATTTGAGAACTAGTGATTTGATAATGAGAAACTCAAAATCCCACCATTAATTTGTGTATAAATTCCCTCCAGGTGGTAAATCTTGAATCTCATTCAGTAAAAACCAACACAAAATAGGCATCTTATCTATACAGTTCATGTGTTGGCTAGAAATGAAAAACACAATACTGTACCGGCATCAGTCAATGATAGTATATTTCGTACCTAGGGTCGAAAATTAGGTTTTGCTGGTTCGAGACGAAGTCGAGAACTTAAATCGATCGAGAGCTGCAAAACCATTTCAGCCAGTGGTAGGAACGCTATTTTTTCACGCTATACCCTATTACCACTATTCACCACAATAATAAAGCACACTGATAGTCAACACAACTACAACTTTTTAGGTTATGTGAAGAAATAATTTGAGGCATCAGCAAAATAAAATAAAAAGTTGCTAGGCAACCGGTGATAATAAAACAGTTTTATTGCAATATTATGGTTACTGCCTGTGTATCTAATATGAATATGCATTAATGTTTTAAGAAAGTAAGTGGGCAGCTGATTTTGTGGCCCTAGGGATGTAAAAACCTGCTCGGTCTCCAAATGACGATGACAGCTGGCATGGCCAGCAAAACGTAACTTTCAGCCACCAATTAACATTATGTAAAACATAAAAGTGCTAAAAACATCATAGTGTGGTGAAAAATAATTTTTTTATCATTTGTGAATAGGTAGCGTCACAGACTTCTGGCCCAAGGCAGTGATGTTGTGGGGTCGGACCCTGATCACTGCCACAAACATTTTATCAGTACAGTTCACCTTTGTACTGTACCGGCTCACCCCTTGTCTTGCTGGATACGTTCCTCGCTCAGATCTTAAGTCTATGTGGACGGGCAAATGCAAGGTTAAAAAAGGCCGTCAACCTCTTAAAAAACTTTCTATTGAACAGTCTGTTTTTTTACCGTCCACATGTTTCAGAATTGGTATTTGTACACACATAAAACTTATAATTGGAAATATAAAGTTTGCATAAGATTATGAAGTTGTTGTCCACTATAAAATAAAAACTATAACTTACGATGCTTATCTGTAGTTCGTGGAGTTGTTTTCTCGTAGTAAACACTTCCTCAAAAGCTCCGTCCTCTATTTTGTCAAAACTGGACACTAGGAACTCCACATATCCCTAAAAAATGGCAATACATATAGGCAATAAGCAGTAAAGAGCTTAGTTATTTAGTCACTCACGTTACTGGTGCATTCTTCAAGTACAACACGTTTGTATTTCAAATAAAGTGGTTTAACAAAGCCCACCCCTCATAATCATACAATTGCCCCCTGAATAGATAGAAGATCTATGCTCGCTACTTTTCAGTTATCTTTCAAGCCGGCTCTGCAGTTATCTCTTAAGTACATCACTAGCAACATTGTTGTTAGTGTTGCAGGTTTAATAATAATTAGTCAAATTATAGAATACAGTAGGTACCCTCATAACCGACCCCAATGAGACCAGACCTAGGTCGGATAACTCAATCAAAAGGTCGGTTAAAATGTGTAATCCCGAAAAAGATAAAACAAAATGAAGTGCTATTCACTTGGAAATATTTAATCATTATTTTGAAGTCGTATTTGGATTATTTATAAAATAAACTACACTTGTCTCCTTTTTTCGTATTGATAGAAAAGTCATAAACACAAGACACGGTTAAGTCAAATACTTTTAGTGGAATAAATTAGTTGTTGGCAAGTCAATAAAAATTCTAATTTTAATACTTTAAGTACTGTAATATTAATTGATGCTTTCAAAATCTGTTTTAATACAGTACAGAATCCTTTGTCAAAATTAAAGATACACACAGCCATTTTGTTACAAGACAGTATATTTATTTACAGCCTAATTAAACTATAAACTATCTTGACCCTGGAGTCCTTAACCCACCCCTGCCCTCCCTACAAGTTGCTTGTTTGTTTACTCTAACGATAAGATAATTTTAGATTATATTAAAAAAATAGCGGCTGTTGTCAGAAACAAATTTTTCTGGGATGAATACAAAGTAACTTAATCTTAGTCACATCCTGTGGAGATATTATAAGCGTAAGGTTACCACAACAATATAAGCAACTCAGTAGTTCTTTACATCGTTGGGTTACCATCACCAAGTATGGGAGCAGAAATGCTGAGATTCCTAGAAAGTGGTGGTAATACCAAACTGTTCTCAAAGCAAGGTCGGTTAAAACAAACTGTAATATTTTACGATCAAGGGCGGATAATGCGAAATTGGTCAAGGGGGGGGGGTCTACTTTAATATGTTTATCTATCATATGACTCATCGTAATTTACACCTCCAATAAATTGTGTGTTTTTTGTTTAAGAATCTTTGAATGTATTACTTGAACTATTATCGTAACATACAACTAAATAACAGTGCAAAGATAACAGAATATTAGCTTGAAATCAACTTACAGGTTTCCCCTTATCTCTAGGCTCACAAGGGTTGGGCTGCAAAAAATATCAAAATTAACAGTGTATGATTTACTCTGAGTTAATCTTTAAGTCCACCATCCTACAAAAGACTAGATTTGTCGATGAGCAATTACATTGCCAGTGACTGTTTTGCCTAAATATCACCTGATTGGGGTGTTTCAATTGGATTGCCTGCAATTTTGACATCCTTGATTGCTCAATTTTCCCTGTCAATACACCGAATTGCCGGCGATTCGGAGATTGCTGGGTGACACGATTGCCAGGTGTGTGGGACCGAGCAATCATCTCGAGTGATATTCTCCCCACACATGCGCTGATGTCTGACTGGCATTATCTGGTGTAGTATTATAATCTTGACAGTTTCCTTTTTTGCTGTATTTAAAACAGCTGCTAATTGATATTTAAATGTTTTATTTTTCTGTGAATTCAAGCTCCATTTTCACACTGATCAACAAACCCTTGATTTGATTGCCACATGATATCGTCTGACTGGTTGCTGGAGTCCAAAATACGTTTCGACCGGCTATATGATTGCCTGCAATTTAATTGCTCATCAATGGTTGACCGAATTGTCTAATGTATGGGGGATTTTTTACACATTTGAATAGCTGGATTATACAGTGGTAAGGACTCTCTATCTTAAAAGCTAGACTTAACAATCTTTTAAGAAACTGCTTATTTGTTGAAAACTTACATTTGGCTTACAGATAACTCCAAGTTCTTTAAGCTCATTCTGTAAAAAAATGAAGAAAATTATTTTCTTAATCCTTATATATAATACGTGAAGGCGATTTCTACAAAACACTACTCCTCCGTTAATAATGGACGGATTTTTACAAACGACGTGTCAAAATAAAATATTTTTTGTGTAGACACCCCCTTTCACCAATTCATGTAGTAAAAATCCTCGGGCTTTGCCCCACAGGCCATCAAAGTTGGAGTTTCTCCCATAAGATTAACATAAGGGAATCTAAAGATTTGATTGGAAACTTTGACCCAACTAATTTGAGAGAACGGTTGGGCGTAGAAACTTGGTAGAGAAGTACAAAGAAAGGTCTTGGTCTGTAGATGAGTTATCAAAAGAAAAACTAAACAAAATCCCTTAGGACTCTGCCCCAGAAGCCTTTAAAGATCCCTCCACAGAGTTGTTTACATTTTGGCCATGAGAATAATACTTTTAATTTAATGAAACAGCTGTTCATTTTTAAATTGTATTTCAAACAACACATATTTATTGGGAGTTGAATTCTACCAAATAAGTATTTGCAATGTTATTTTCTGATTTTAAAATTGATTTTCTTCTTTATCATGCTATGTTTTGCAATATAACGTTCCATTACGAAATCAGTGGAAAATCCTTTTATCACAGCAATTCTTATATTATTTCTTATTGAAATATCTTATATCTATTGTACGGGTTGGTGTGTGCCTTTTTCGCCACTATTGCCTACATTTTATCATATTATTCTACAAAATATCAAATATTTATGTAGAAATATCTGCTCTTATTGTGTCTAATAAAATCCAAACTTAGAAACATTGCCTAAAATGGTACCTATCTTGACAAATTATTTGCACCTGCCTATATTACGGACTTTGGCGCACTAAATTAGTAACATTATTGAAAATAACACGACATTTTGGCTGTAAAATATGGTACAAAGAGAAAATACTATTTAAGCAGCTACTGTCATGACAGAAAGGTCATACCGGTATTCCTTTTAAACTAGATCACATAATCCTTTGACTGGGACGGGTGGCGTCGTCCTGTAATCCAGCTACTAGGAAGTCACGAATTGTGGATATTTATAAGAATGCACTGTGGATGCGATACTCCCTGGTGTGGATTAACGTCCACACGAGTGAGTACTACGACTACCCGCAGTGCTATCCTGATAATTATACCAATTCATAAATACCAATGCAAAAAAAAAATAAACTGTAGGTCCCTTGGTTGCCATTCGCTGTATGGGCTATTAATTAACAGCTGTATGTAAGGAATGTCTGCCTTAGTCACTAACAAGACTTCAAGATCGTGCCACTCATCGTAAACTCATCTCCATTCATCCTTGGCTTACCTACTATGAATGGTCGCCATAAAAAAACGTATTAAAGGATTAAGGTATTTATGATATACGTTGATTAACAATATGTAAACGTCAATATATATACGTAACAGCCATTTTACACTATTTTTGGTTTTGGGAAATGTTTTATTGCTATGTCATTTGCATTATTTGTTGCCAATGAAGCCGCCAAGATCATATGAACTAGGAGGCCCCTAACAGTTCAAGAATAAAAGCCAACGTTACTTCATGTATTCCACTACACCTAACATTCCGTAGAGAGATTATATTGACAACTTTATGTTATTGATAAGGCCGAGACAACTAACTGACATCCCCCATGTCAAGGAATTCCAGCTTTATCAGTAACCCCATAGTCAATTTATCAAAACTATGCTAGAGGGTTCATTCATTCGCACAGAAGTACGATATGAACAGACGCGACGTGACGAAGGAAAATCAAACTTACACTGTAACGGATATACCTCCCTTTGAAGTTAGAACGTGTCTTCTCAACAAACATATATTTTTTCTCAAACACTGATGAAGTCGCGGAAGTGTTTAACTACAAGATCCACCAATACGATTTAAATACTATTTAAAGGTTCTACCAAAGGAAGAGATACCATATAACATACTAATAATAACTCCGATGACGTACAGGATAGGAAATATTTTAATCATTCAATGAACAACCAAATTTGGCAACTAACGCAATATTGTTATTTTTTTACACTTATTACTCTTTGAACAATGTTAAATGCTCAAAATATGTATATCTAACCCAATTCATCGCAGTTATATGAATTAACGTAAGCCTTGAAAATAACCGTCGATTTCGACGGGTTTCCCCTAGTATCATCTATGATTTGTTGAGATAACAAGCACTCACGGTAAAGTCAATATTTATAGGCTATATGTCAGCATTGTTTGGTTAGAATGTCTTTACACAGGAAATAATTCGGCTAGCCAAGTGATTGATTATAGTATTCACCTTTAAATCTGAAGGTATTGGATCCAGTAGTCATTTGTTTGTCATTCGGTTTTCAATGATGCTATGCTATATTCTACATTAGATGGTAACAAGACCATGGTTTGGACCATTCCCAAACAAAAAAACGTAAAGGTGTTGATAAACACTAAATAAAAATTACTCTAATTATATTGAAAAAAAAAACATACATTACAATTTAAACTGTATAGGAATTGTGCTATGGAGAAAATTAGAATTTATTTTTGAAAACAACTTACTTAATTGGCAACAAATCAAAAGTAAACTTACTATCCATGTTTGCCTCCTGGATTGAATAATAATAATAATAATAGGTTAAATACCTTGTATACGTCCTCAATCCAAGTCGTCTTTTAAAATAATATCTTTTAAAATATGTATATTTTAAAAGACGACTTGGATTGAGGACGTTAACCTATTATTATTAAACTTACTAATAAACCTGTACTGTACTTACAATCTTACGGCCTTCATCGGTACTCCCTTTGGATGTTGCTCCAATGTACTGGCATGGATCCTGTGATGTATTTTTTTATGATTACATTAAACAAATAAAAAACTTCATTCAACAGTTAAGTAACAGTAATAACCCTTAAGTATAAAATGCCCCCTTTATCATTCAAAAATTAGGTACCGGTACTATGTATTTACATTTTATTATTACATTCAAAACTATCCTAAGTCTACTAATAGTCAAACCTCAATAGCAACCCCAGAAAATCTTAAAAGCCAAAAAGGGCTAGTCAGTTGTTTTGTAAAGTACTCAGTAAAAATCATCAATAAACTTCGATGTCAATAGGGTTAAATCTTAAAATTCCATGTTTAAACCATACATTCATATTACATTTAGAGGAATTTGTCAGATTTTAAATCTCTGGACGAGTATTTACTTAATTGTATTTGTATTTATATATTAAGACCTGGGTTTATCATCAGTATAAAGTATGCATTGAATTTAGTTGATGTTACAGTTGATAAAGCATGTTTACAAACAATATTTTCAATAGTAAACAATTGATTCTGGTCCTCTAAAAACCAGTAAACTACCTACCTACATATGATAGTACATATCAATAATTAAAATGTACTCTGTATGTAAGTGGATTATAATATTAACTTACATCGTGTATTGCTGGTGGACAAGGATCCTGCAAATAAAAATACAAACATTCTTAACAATAAGGCTTAGCAATAATATGTCAATAATGCTTATTAAAATAATATGTTGATTACTGATTTTACAGATTAGTAATCTAAAATTTTGCTTTTGTTTAAATCATAGTTTTGTGATATAGTTCCATGTGAAAATTCAAACTTTTTACAAAGGGGATCTTAATGTTTTTACTCATTCATGGATGCTTGAAAATACGATGGACTTTCGGTTTTTTAAGTGATAGATGTTTCATACAGAAAATATTAGTTATGATGGATTTACTGTAAATTTCATGGTAAAAATGCCAAATAATGTATTTACAATTTACCCTTTATATTATAAAAATATCATATAATTAAGTTTTTATTTCAATTATATAATATTATTATCCATTATTAGTATTATTTTTATACTATTATTATTTTTAGTATTATTAGTATATATCTTGTCAATAAGGTATGAAAACCTTAAAAAAGTATTAAAAAAAAAACAAAAAAGTAAACAAAGTTTCAGTCAAACTGAGCTATGCTGGGTCTGCAGAATTGGCTATCTGTGGAACTCGTTAACCCCATGTTAAACGCCCTATCATCAAATTTGGTCGATGAGAGGAACTCACTAACTTGCTCGGTTTCGGAACGGGCTAATTCCGGAACCCGCTCTAGAGCCGGGTTAGCAAATTCTGTCCTAGTACGGAAGTCGCTAACTCGGTCCCTCGGAGAAACTCGCTAACTCCCAATCAGAAGCCTCGCATGCCGTCCAATAGGAGCCAAGCACGAAGATTGTTGGCCAGTATTGCCGAAAGTGTAGTACCTACGATCGTCTCGGTACAATAATGTCGTATCCTACGAATAATTAGGAGTAAGAGCAATGTAGTCGATTAAATAAATGTATATTCAGATGTATGATTTTTATTATTATTATTATGATTATTATTAGGGCGAAAAATCCATTGTAGTCCTATTATAGACTAACCAACACAATTAGACATCACATCTCATTGTAAATTTTGAAACTCGTTTTTTGTGTCTAGTTCATCTCCAATGACACTGATCGCTAGTGTCGACAAAATTGTATTTCTATTATTTTATAGTTAATTTGATGATTTGTTCTCTACTGTTTGGTTATATAACTAGGCGACGAGTTATTAGTTATGGTTAGAACGTTTTTTTTGGCTAAACGAGGTTTTAAATGACTGAAAACAAGAAACAAACTGTAAACAAAACATGACCTCTACATACGGTGCACCGGACAGAACTAACAATAAAATTGTCTTCAGCTGATCCATGAGATGAGAAATCTACTAAGGTAGTTTTATCTATGGTCTTATTACTTAAATATAAATAATTTATATCTCTTTCAACACTAAAATCAGGAAAATCTGTCTAGTCGTTGATTCAGAATCGTGAAATAAAATATCCCTGTCACGTTTTAATATAAGAATAATATTATATCTTCTCCTATTATTTACTAGTGGGGCTTAGGTTTACACAATATACAAACTGTTATTAAAACATGGAACATTTTTTTCTAAAAAATTCAACGAATTTTAGTATTAAGCTACTAGCTTTTACTAGTAGGCCTAGGTTTACAATGTTTGGTTTTAACTATTAGGCCTAGATTTACAGCTATTCTATAAATTGTAATGTAACATATGAGCAATTTTTACATGTAAGTTGGAAGATTCAACGACGAGCCTTTAATTTTAAGTCTATGAATTAGTTATGAATTAGTCACGGTGGTTAGTGATTAATGGTTTTGGTTTATTACTACTATTAAATTGCCAATCATCAAAGTCAAATAAAAGTCAGTTTCTTTTTAGTACACATTTTAATAACTGTTTATTTACTATTCTTTAACAATATTACCTACTTATGCTGGTACATAATTTTTTTCCAAATTACCATTAACCTTAAGACGAGCCGAATCCAAGAATATAAAAAGGAAACTTAATGATTTTATAACAACTAAAGCATTATATAATATACAAGAATTTCTTGACCCAGAGTTTAATTAAAAACCTTCTGGGACTTTAAGGGCTTTTGGATGTTTAGATTATTTTACTGCTTTCTTAATTTATTTATGATTGTTATTTGTTTTGTTGAGAATCTCTATTGCAATAGTATAAATAATGGTAAAAAATGGTAGAAATGAGTTAGAAAACAGTTTTAAGTTATAATAAAGAATCACTTTTCGACACTGTTCAATGTACTGTAAATATGTACTAAAAGAATAAAAATTGTTTGAAATGAAATGAAATATTAAAACCTGTGATATTTAATCTTCACAAATAAGTTATAGCAGAAAATATTAATCAGTGAACATAACATATACATGAAATTAGTCATTAACAACGACATCTTGATTAAATTTGTTTTCCGTGTTTGAGAACTCACGTGTATTTAGCTTAATTTCATAGTGGTTTAATTGGCACTACTATATTTACAATATGTTTCATATTCTGTTATTTTCCTATAATACTGGCATTTTTAAGATCGAAATCATCAACATTTAATTGGACGTTGTATAGTTATATACAAAAAAAAACAATTTTTATTGCCTTTTAACTACTTTAAGCTAGGTAGCTGTTAAAAGTGGATTTGATAACAAAAAACAACAACAAGTACAATAAAGATTGACACTGACATTTTGAAATACGTCTGTGTACGATTATTTCGTCGTACAAGGTTGGCAACGCTCCGTGCAGTGGGCACGGCCGGGTTAGCGACTTCCGCCGCGGGACAAAATCGAGTTAGCGGGTTCTGGAGTTAGCCAATTCCTGACTGGGAAGGATAGCCAGTTTCAGCGTTAGCCAGTTCCGACACTCGACCGAGTTAGCGAGTTCCGAAGTTAACCAATTCCTACATTTTGCTATGCTAACTTACTGTTGGAGGTTGAACAACTGTCGGGTGCGTTGGACGAACCACTCTTGGTAGCGGCGGTTGAACAATTGTTGGTGGCGGTGGTCGAACAATTGTTGGTGGCGGTGGTCGAACAATTGTTGGGAGCGGCGGTTGAACAATTGTTGGTGGTGGCGGTTGAACAATTGTTGGTGGCGGTGGTCGAACAATTGTTGGGAGCGGCGGTTGAACAATTGTTGGTGGTGGCGGTTGAACAATTGTTGGTGGTGGCGGTGGATGAACCACTGTCGGTGGTGGCGGTTGAACAATTGTCGGTGGCGGCGGTCGAACGATTGTCGGTGGTGGTGGATGAACCACTGGTGGTGGTGGTGGTTGAACAATTGTTGGTGGGGAAGGTTGAACAATTGTCGGTGGTGGTGGTTCAACAATTGTCGGTGGCTGCGGACGAACAATTGTCGGTGGTGGCGTTTGAACAATTGTAGGTGGCGGTGGTTCAACAATTGTCGGTAGCTGTGGTCGAACAATTGTCGGTGGCGGTGGTCGAACAATTGTCGGTGCTGGCGGTTGAACAATTGTCGGTGGCGGTGGTCGAACAATTGGCGGTGGCGGTGGTCGAACAATTGTTGGTGGCGGCGGTTGAACAATTGTTGGATGAACCACTGTCGGTGGTGGCGGTTCAACAATTGCCGGTGGCGGTGGTCGAACAATTGTCGGTGGTGGCGGTTGAACAATTGTCGGTGGCGGTGGTTGAACAATTGTCGGTGGCGGTGGTTGAACAATTGTCGGTGGTGGCGGTTGAACAATTGTCGGTGGCGGTGGTCGAACAATTGTCGGTGGTGGCGGTTGAACAATTGTAGGTGGCGGTGGTTCAACAATTGTCGGTGGCTGCGGTCGAACAATTGTCGGTGGTGGCGGTTGAACAATTGTCGGTGGCGGTGGTTGAACAATTGTTGGTGGTGGCGGTTTAACAATTGTCGGTGGCGGTGGTCGAACAATTGTTGGTGGTGGCGGTTGAACAATTGTAGGTGGCGGTGGTCGAACTATTGTTGGTGGTGGTGGTTGAACAATTGTTGGTGGCGGCGGTTGAACAATTGGCGGTGGCGGCGGTTGAACAATTGGCGGTGGCGGTGGTCGAACAATTGTTGGTGGCGGCGGTTGAACAATTGTCGGTGGCGGCGGTTGAACAATTGTTGGATGAACCACTGTCGGTGGTGGTGGTTGAACAATTGTCGGTGGTGGCGGGTCAACAATTGTCGGTGGCGGTGGTCGAACAATTGTCGGTGGTGGCGGTTGAACAATTGTAGGTGGCGGTGGTCGAACTATTGTTGGTGGTGGTGGTTCAACAATTGTTGGTGGCGGCGGTCGAACAATTGGCGGTGGCGGTGGTCGAACAATTGTTGGTGGCGGAGGTTGAACAATTGTTGGATGAACCACTGTTGGTGGTGGTGGTTCAACAATTGTCGGAGGCGGCGGTTGAACAATTGTAGGTGGCGGTGGTCGAACAATTGGCGGTGGAGGTGGTTGAACAATTGTTGGTGGCGGCGGCGGATGAACCACGCTCGGTGGCGGCGGTTGAACAATTGTGGGTGGCATTGGTCGAACAATTGGCGGTGGCGGTGGTTCAACAATTGTCGGTGGTGGTGGCGGTGGCGGTGGTTCAACAATTGTCGGTGGTGGTGGCAGTGGCGGTGGTTCAACAATTGTCGGTGGTGGTGGCGGTGGTTCAACAATTGTCGGTGGCGTTGGTTCAAAAATTGTCGGTGGCGGCGGTCGAACAATTGTAGGTGGCGGTGGTTGAACAATTGTTGGTGGCGGTGGTTCTGGCCTAACTGTTGGTGTCCATGGCTCTTCTTCCTGCAATACATTTCATTATAAAGTGATTATTTTTGATTCTCAAAGAGGAGAATAATTATTATAAAACCTACTTTTACGCTTTGCACTTGCTTAAGGCCTAATCATCTGCATTCGGCAATGAATATGTGTGAAGTAATGAATCTTAATACGCTATATGAAACTTTGTCGGTTGAACTCCTCCGCCATATTTGAATCGATTTTATCCATTGACGTCTCATTGGAAAGAGCGTGTCGCGTAGATTTGCAAACTGACCTTACATTTTTGAAAAAGTCCCTAGGGCTCTGGCCCAGTGGTTGTTAAAGTTCCCATGTTATCCTTATGAAGAACATAATTGTTTACATTTTGATCAGCTTTATAATTTAATTGCTGTTATTTATTTCTCAATTCAATGAACCGCATTGGGTACATTTACTGATTATGTTGAACCAACAGTTCTTAGCAATGTGGTAATGCAATGACCTTTTGATTTGGAACCCACCTAGCTGTAGCATCACCGATCTAAAAAAATTGGTTCCTCATACGAGAAGGACTTCTTCTGTAATTGACAACTCTATATGCTGAAACCCTATTTGCAACTATAGAAACTGTTATCCAAGTGGAGGACACACAGGCTTGGAGTTACCATAATTGTTTAAATTTGTTGTTAAATTTCAATTTAAATTTAAATATTTACTATTTTAATTTACAATCATACATATTACAAAACTACAAAACTTATACTTTACTTCTTTGCAATTGCTCGATTTCGAGCAACGTGTTTACTAGTATGTATTAATACTTGAACTGAGCAATGAAGTAAGTAGCTTACCTATATCTTAAACTATATTAGTTTGGGAATGGAACAGAATTCAGAACCTCTTTAATCTATAACAATAGCTTAGTATGAAATAAATAAATCTGCCAAGTTTGATAAAAATATATCCATAAACAAGCCAACTACAACATTTTACAATAGTCTCCATAAGAATAACATGGGAATTTTAAATTAAAAATTTTTTTTGAATTTTATCCGTAACCAATCACCGTACGAAAACACTTTGATATATTAAATTATTTGTTTTTTTAATCTCTTTAAAAAGGTCTGGAGAAAAATGTATACATTTTGTATTTTAAGGGTAAAAAATGAGAAAACCCCATAAAACCCTGAACAAATATATTTGTATATATATATATATATATTTTTAAACCCTGTTCCCATGGTCCAATCATGCTGGTTCGCAAACTCATTCAAGTTTATCCTGTCTTACACCTTCAAATAAGTTAAGATTGCAGATAAGTCCTGAAATAGTTACTATTATACTGTTGATTCATGATTTAACAGCGTGCTTCAGATACTTCCAATCTTAATAATCAATAACTCAAAAGAAAGCTGGTATATTGCTGAAGGTTTCTAGACCGAAACATAGCGAATTTTTCAATTGGAACTGGTGTTACGGTCAGGCAGTTATTGATTGTATTTTTATTAGTGTTATAATGGATAACAGCCCAAAGCCCAGAATTGGGTATTGCCGTTAATATTGGCAATCGTGTCGCAACTCCGCTTGCCAGCATTGTCTTGCAATTTATTTGGGGTTTTGTTGAGTGTCACAAAGTATTGAGTGCATCGATTGCTACATCACGTTAGGTTGTTTTGGATCGTGGCATGGAATGCATGGCCTGATTGTTTTGCTGACATGAGGTGTCATCATTCTGTGTGACGTGTAGGACCACCGAACCTGGGGTAGTCAATCAGAGTCGAGCTCGAGGTGTCGGTGGGTCGCGGTTATGAGCTCCCTTTCCCTTAATAATAATAATAATAAGTCAACATCCTCTCCAAAAACGACAACATGCTCATTAAAGCTAGCCAATGACCAGCGCTTGTTGTCCCTATCAATGTGTCCGCATCTCCAGATGCTTGTTCCAAGATATGATTTATGATATCGTCTTCCTTGTTATCATGGAAATAAGTCTATCCTAGTTATTAGGGTTGGCTAGGAGTTTTCTTTCGTTGTGGTTGGGGTCAGAGTTTCATCAAAGAGAAATACAGAAGTAAATTTCATCGCCCTTTTCAATCGTTTGGAAACTTTTTATTCCACCTTGCGGATGTTCTAGGTAACCGTCAAAAACTTGTCTAAGCTCCATATTTGGTTTTAATGTAGTCAATGTATCTGTTACATATTTTAGAGAAAGGTTGATGCTGTGGCCATAAACGTTTGTGATAAATAATTGATTTAACCAATAAATATTAACATATTTTATTGCAAGCATAGATGGCAAAACTTTACGTAAAAGAAGCAAAATTAAACAAACTGTTGTTAAAGCACTTCTGGTCAAAGTTAAGTTCTGGGTTAAAGTTAAGGGACTGCTTAAGCAATTTCTGCTCCAAGGTGCTCCAAACCTGGTTACGCCGCTGAATTGGTGTTGAGTATATCCACCACTTAACTTAACATGACCTTTTCATCAAAACTATAAAAAAAATTTTGAACATACTCACAGTAGCAATTATTTCGCCATGTTCTTCCTTATTCTGTAAAATTAAAGATTAATGTAATTAATTGTAAACCTGTTAAACTTTTATTTTCTATATAATATAAATCTACAAAAAAAAATTCCTAATAGATTGATTGTTTGCACAAAGTATCGAGTTTTTGTGTGCATACAAATTGAGTTTTTGTGTGCATAAAAACATTAAGAAGGCCCTACTTTTTACCTCAGAAACCCGTCATCGGCCGCTGCCAACCTGTCACGTCATCACAGCCGATGTTGAACTATCAAGGATCTACTGTATCATATAAATCTACTCGTGACTGAAAACTTGAAATGTAGTATTAGGCCTAGTAAATATTTTTTGGACATAAATTGCACTTTTTGCAACATAATCATAGAAATAAATGTAATCATGATCTGAATGATTCATAATTAATTGAGGGTTGATCTGTGATATCAAGAATACTTTAAATGTTTATCATGTATTTGTTTTTGTAAACTTAAATAGAAATATTTAGATGTTAATAATGTTTACTTTTACTACTTCTATCTAACCACTACTTTATGATAATTAATTCCAAATGGAATAATAACCATTTCATATTTTACTTACATAGTCATCCATACATATCCAATTTCCCTGAAAAAAACCAATCAAAATGCAGTTAAGAGTCAAATTACACACTATAGTAGAAAATAAGTTAAAAACAATAATTAATCATATTTCTAACATTTGAATTTAAGTTACCTTGTGAATAGAAAATACCCCCGCTGCAGCAAACCTGCAGACTAAGGAAATTTCCATTTGTCTGATTGGATTTACACTCAAATGTCTTCTAAAAAAATTTCACATTTATTCCCTATTCAAAAAGAATTAGTTTAACAAGACATTAGGTTTGCTGCAACAGGGAGGGTAAACAAACATATTTGTTGTAAACTGATAATAGTTTAGTAAGAAATTAACATATTTTCCAAATTCGATCAAAATATCTTCTCAAACAAGCAAACTACAACAGTTGACTTATTCTCCTTAAAAATAACATGGAAATTTAAAATTTAAAAATTTTTTGGAATCTTCTCCGTAACCGTTAGGCGCATAATAACGCTTCAATATACTAAATGATTTATTATTTTAAGCTCTATAAAATGGTTTGGAAAGAAAATGTGAAATTTCATGTTTTTAGGGTCAAAAATTAGAAATACCTAATTTTACCCCATAAGGCACATTGAAGCGAGGCGAGGTGCAGGCGGGAGCGAAGACTTTTTCTTGTCACCGCACATTGAAGCGAGGCGGGACAGAGGTTTCCTAGCTTTGGTCGTACTTTCGGAAGTATAGGAAGATTTTTTGACATTTACTGATTCTAATTGTTAGTTAAATAACTTAGTTTTACTCTATTCGCTATCCGAAAAACGTTTTTTTTGGGGAAATGTGATAACGGTAGATGAAAAAAGATTAAGTCGTGGAGATTATGTTACCGGTCTGGCAGTTCAGTAGTTAAAACATAATCTTTTAGACATTAGACATTATTTATTTGCACATAACATTCTTTTAGATATGTGATAACATATAGAACAGGTGCATTGTCAAAATTGAGTCTAGACTAGAAAAATACAAAGTACAAAGTAACAGGAAAAAAATACCTAGCCAAATAATATTAATACAGTACGTTAGTTAAGAAAATTAAAAACAAAAAATTAACTCAAGGGATGGTTATAAAATTCTTCTATTTTATAAAACGCACGTTCAAGGAGTCCATTTTTCTATGTTTCTTGAAACTTGTTTGAACTCATTATTTTATAATATACCGGTAGTTTATTATACATTTTTAAACCTGCATACAAAGGACTTTTTTCAAATAAGGTCAAACGGTGATTTGGTAATCTGAAAATTGTTTCGTTTCTTGTACTATAGTTGTGTGTGAATTTGAATGAATCCGGGAGGTTATTTTTTATATTGTGTATGTAGTTTAATAATTCAAATATGTATAGTCCTGTGAGTGTTTGGATTTTTAAATTTTAAAAATGTAATTTACAAGGACTTCTGGGGTGGGAATTATGTCATAATTCGGACGATTCTTTTCTGAAGTCTGAAAAAGTTTTTGCATCAGTTGCCTGTCCCCAAAAAATCACACCATACCTCAAGATGGATTCTACATATGCATGATAAGCCATTTTAAGTACTTCAATGGTGACACATTCTCTCAAGTGGACAAAGACAGATGATGCAGATCTAATTTTTTTCTTTATAACATCTAGATGCACCTTCCAGTTAATATTTTCATCTAGATGAATGCCTAGGAATTTATTTGAATGGACTAAATTGGAAAAACGATTTAATTCTCTTTCATTTCTGGCTGAAAATTTGATAATTTGGGTTTTATCCACATTAAGTTTAAGGCCATTTATTTTAAACCAATTTTCCATTTCTTTCATAACTTCTGTGAGAGATGTAAGAAGCTCTTCTCTACTATTTTCTTTAATGATTGCAGTAGTATCGTCAGCAAACAGAATCAAATCTCTATTAATAGCTTTAGGGAGGTCATTTATGTAGATTAAAAAGAAAAGGGGACCTAAAATGGAGCCTTGAGGCACCCCAAGCTTTAGGTATACATTTCCAATGTGAGAAATGCCTGGTTCCTCCATCAGAAATTACAGTTCTTTGTTTCCGATCTGAAAGGTATGATCTAATTAGGGAAAGACAACTTCCTGAAATTCCATAGTCATGTAGTTTTTGAAGCAAAAGCGAATGATCGACACAATCAAAGGCCTTGGATAGATCACAGAAGACACCAGCTGCATTCCCTGACCCATCCAAAGCCTCCGATACCTCATTAATAAAGTGTACAAGAGCTGTATTTGTTCCAAGGTTTTTCCTGAAACCAAATTGATTTTGATAAAACAGATTATTATGTTCAAAGAAACAAACTAATTGGTTATTTATAACTTTATCAAAGACTTTTGAAAAATTGCTTAAAACTGATATTGGACGGTAATTGTTGATATCTGACCTAGAGCCTTTTTTGAAAATTTGAGTTATTTGTGAGTATTTAAGTTTGTCTTGGAAGATTCCATTTGTTAAACACTGATTTATGATAATAGATAAGGGTTCAGAAATTAAATTTACAGCAGCTTTAATTAACTTGATTGGTACTTCATTCCAACCCACAGAAGTTTTGTTTTTTAGGGAAAGAATAATTTTTTTATTGTGATCAAGAAAAAGTAAATTCAAAACGACAATAAACTTGCTGCAGCAAACCTGCAGACTAAGCAAATTTCCATTTGCCTGATTTAACTTTCACTTAAATTTATTTAAATAAACGAGTACCTAAGTTTGCTGAGGGTCATTAAGTGTATATTTTAGTAAAATATTAATAGCTTGATATAAAATAAATAAGTTTGCTAAGTTTGTTTGGAATGTATAAACAGGCAAACTACAATAGTTTCCTTATTCTCCGTAAGAATAAGATTAGAATTATAAATTAAATATTTTTTTTAAATTAAGCTCTTTGAAATGGATTAGGAAGATATTAGAACATTTTATGTTTTGAGAGTTAAAAATTGAAAAAAAACCTTTTTTTACCCTACAAAGCCATCCATATAACCCTGTTTCCATGGTCTGATCATGATGGTTCAAATGAAAGTACAGTATGTTTACACATTTGTACCAAATTGCACCAAAGTCGGATGATTTTGCTTGAGTTATCATGCTAACGGATGTATACAAATATGAATATGTTAACGGACACATATATGTATATGAATTTGAAAGGATGATGTTTTTGACCTCTTTGGATTTTGAAACAAGAAAGTAAATTGGTCCCGGGTCCAGGTCTGACCATGAGAAATATGCTAAACAACATACTGTAATTTTTGGATTGGATATGATATTTTGGATGTGCTTAAGGTAAGATAAAAAATAATTTAAACATGTTAACTGTTAAAAGCTTAGAGCTATGAAGCAACTACTTCTACTTATTGCGGGTGCCCCTCTATACGGAGGAAGCGTACTTAGCATTGGAAATTCAAGGAGTCTTTGAACAGCTGTCATTTTGACTCGGCTGTCCATTTGAATTTGGGTTTGCGGCATTGTATTTTACTACTATTAATTTGATACGTATGTCAACCTAAACTTACATTTTATTTATGATTTTCTTCTGATTCCTAATAGGGCCTCCCCCCTAAGGAGGTAGCATATTACCGAATAATGCATTAAAATGATTTTTATTATTATTATTTTATGCCCAGTAACTTTGCGTTAAGTTTTGTAGCTATATCTTTAACATTTGTTTTTTATTTAACTGTCCCGGGACGTTTTTCCACCCTGTATAAATTTTAGAGTATAAACTATTATTAGGACATTTGTGTCGTACACTTTTATTAATACGATCCATATTCAGTTTCTTATTCTTCCTCCTATGATATGAAAAGGTTTGTAATGTAATACTGTACTCACATCGGGATATGTGCCTGGGGTAGGTCCAACATATGTCTGTTCTCCGTCCACACTTTCATCCTAAAATGCAAAAAAGTTGGATCAAATGAATTCAGATTATGATTAATTATTTCAGGATAAACAAAGACACCTTATCTTATCCTGAACGATGAATTGTGGTTTTACATACTTCACACAGATAAATATAGAACTATTGTTGTCGTATTCTATTTGAAATGCCATACATGTTTTCATAATCCTCAGAGTTGTTTAGATAGAGTTGGACTTAGATGCCCGACTAATTAAATAATTATTTTGTTGATTCAGTTAGGGAGCTGGAAAACAGCATTGATGTCGTTAATAAATCCTCATGACATTTTGTCTTTTAATTGGAGAGAAGTATCATCAGATGACATAGTTAAAATAGTTTCTAAGCTTTCAAACTCAAAAACCATGGATTTTTATTGGCTGTCAAATTATGTTCTAAAACGGACTATACATTTAATCTAATTTAATTTAAGTGAACCACTGGCTTTTTGTGCAAACAAATCCTTAAAGACTGACAGTTTTCCTGAGTTTCTAAAAATAAAAATTTCAAAGGTGATACAAGTCTTCAAGAAAGGGAATACTTTTTTCTTAAAATCATAGACCAATATCTATTGCCCCAATCTTATAAAAAATCATTGAATCGGTGGTTTATGAACTATTAAATATGAGCACTTTGTAAACAAAAATATATTGACAATTTTGGATTCTGGGAAGGAAAGTCAAACTTCTGCAGCTCTAAAAGTCATTAATAAAACAATAAATGCTTTTGAGAACAAAGAAATTGTTTCTCTCACATTGTTCGACCTCACAAAAGCTTTTCATTGTGTTCCTCATAACATTTTGTTTAGTAAACTCAAATTTTATGGCATGGAGGATGCTCAGTTAGGTTTTGTTCATTCATACTTAAGTAATAGAAAGCAGTACGTTTTTAGTTGGTGGGATGCAATCTGGCTTAAGTTTTAAGAGAGGTGGTCTCTGGCGTTCCACAGGGCAAAGTCCTCGGACCATTTCTATTTCTAATGTGTTTTAATGATTTGCCTCGAAATGTTGGGGTTGACTCTGCATCATATGCAGACGATACTACCCTAATCGCCACTCTTAACGACATTCATACTCTAAATACAATGACCAATGAAGCCATAAACGAAACCTAGCTTCTGTTTGGTTTTCAACGAACAAGCTTAAATGTATTCAGGATAAAACGCAAAATATTATAATTATTGGCCTACCCCCCCCTGAATCCACGCTTGTGTATAAAAAGAAAGTACTGTAAGTACTGACTTTCAAACTAGACTGAATTCTAAACTTAAACTTACATTAATGTTGAAAGTCTGGTCGGTTCTCTCAAACTCAGGTGTTCCTGTTATTACCTAAAAAAACATAAAATTTTCAAATATATATATTTTTTTCAAAATATTTAATGCATTTGACAAATATATATCTACGGACGGGGGTCTTGTAGTCAGTTGAAACCTATAAGTAGTCCTGACGGACCGAGCCATGGCTTGGTATAGTTCTTTTAATTTAAAAAACCAATATAAAGGAATCTCACTTTTTATTTACAACTAATTTTGGCTTTTATTATTTAAGTTTCGGTGGAATTTCAATTCGTTATAATGAAAATCTTAACCTGGTATTTTGGTAATCCACAACACATTATTTATTTTACAGTCGCTGGTGAAAATCATTCATTTATCTAATATTTATTTAATAGCCTATACTTGCATAAACATTGTTTTGACAGTTTGTTTCAATCATTAAATTAACTGTTACCTACCTGTTAAATGTGACGACAGGTTTCGTGAAGACATAGACATCACATGCCAGGTCACACATGACAGTACATCAGGTCAATCCTCGTAAAACGATTCGTTAAGTATACTTAAAAGTCTTTACCTAACACAAAACACATTATTTACAAAGTATTTACAGCCATGAAGCTACAAAGTATTGAGCCGGCAGCGACTGAAAGCGTGCACACATCGCGATGGTTTCTGTCTGTAATTATGATGTGTTTTGTATTTAGTAAAAACTTTAAGTATACTTAACAAGTCGTTCTACGAGGATTGACCTGATGAAATGACTGTCATCACGAAAACAGTCGTCATAACAAGAATCAAAGGATATTGGAACAGTTTATTTAATAATTTAAATTTTCAATATCCAGTAGTAGGAAAATGAACTACTGCATGAAGTTTGTTTCAATTAATACAGTAGATTAAAAATTGTTATTAAACTTATAATTTATATATATAATAAATATAATATAATATACATAGCATAGCCCGGGCTGCTCTGAAAATGTTTGAGGATTAGCGTGGTCATGAGGCTGAAGTTTTTGGAAGATGGCTATTTTATATGGGTGAAAGTGAAGGAGTGCAAAATTCGTCGAATAGAGCGATCAGACATGCCAAGAGCAGCAGCTTGTCTATTCACCGGGCGATGTGGGCTCGTTAGCACAGCTTATCGCACTCACTCCACATTCTCAGGCGTCCTCACTGACCTTGGACGGCCTGTAGGCCTACGTTTTGCAGTTGATCCTGTAGATCTAAAGGTATCCACCCACAATTTGATGGTGTTTCAGGATGGGATAGGTTCCCCACGAGCCACATTAAAATGCCTACGAAACTTACGTTGTGTATCAACAACTGAATCACCACTTTTAAAATACGCCTTAACGACAAACGCGCGATGTATACCGGTCCACTGCTCCATGGCAACTGACATTGAAATGGGGTCACTTGGCCTTGAGAATGAGCCGCTCCCTACCACCCCCCTCCACTCGGCTGCCGGACTGTACGAAAACCGTCAGATATTTCTGCCGCTCCCTGTATAATTGAATAAAAATGTATTTCACTGCTAAACCAAAGTTTGCTATCAATGCCTCAATACTTCAGGGATTAAGTTTGGTAGGAGAGAGCCAAGTAAAATAATCAGTATTTGATCAGAACTATTTTCGCCTAAATTGAGTAATCTTTGGTGGAATCTTTACTCATAAGTAACAACCTATGTTTTTCCCTTTGTACTGTATAAATTGTAACTTGCTAGTATACTGTGGATGGCTTGTTATAAACACATGTTACTAGTCTTTTGTTTACTATTCCCTTGTAATTTTATTTAACCAACATAGTTCTTTGGCAAACCACGATGCCAATGTTAATTTTATAGCGAATTTCCCATATAGGAAATAAGTTATTCCCCTAGAACTCATGGTAAGACCTGGAGCCTTTTTCATAATAAACTACAAACTAATATTATCAGTAAACCAGCTGATTGCCCAATGAAAACCTAATGTAAATTACAAGTAAGAGCTAGTAACTGGTAGTTTATTATGAAACAGGACCCTGGAACCAGGGACCGATTTACTTTTTCGTTTTAAGGTCCCAAAACAACTGTTTTTTTATATTAGCAAATTTCCCCTATAGGGAATAAGCTATTACTGTAGTATGGTAAGACCTGGACCCGGGACCGATTTACTTTTTCGTTTTGAGGTCCCTGGAGACCAAAAACACCATCCGTTCAAATTCATATATACAGTGTGTAAATTAAGTATTGAAACAAATCTGTGTTTTTAACACGTTCACTGCTAATGACGCACTTGTGCGTCATAAGTATATTAGCAGATATATAATACATGATGTATATAATTACATAATATATTTTAATCCACAATTTATAGTTTAAAATTTATTTAATTAAAGATATATTGTCACTCAATTAACATGATCATGTTAATGTTTATGTTTTTTAGCCATTTATAAAAGTATTACATATCATTAGCAGTGAATGTGTTAAAACCGAAATAGATAGAAATATTCTGTTTGTGGCAATAATTGTTAGCAAAGGTTCCGCAATTTTTTACATCAAAAATATTTTTTTACCCCCCTAACAGGGAAGAGGGTAGGCGGTGACTTATTTTTTTCAAATAATAACCCCTATTGAGTGACCCCTCATTTTGAAGGGTTTGTCAAAAGAAACACAATGACGGAAATCAGAGGTGAATATCTCACCTCTAGGCAAAATGGCGGATATTCCAATACCCCTGACGCAGCAAACCTGCAGACTAAGCGAATTTCCATTTGACTGATTGGTTTTACACTGAAATGTCACTACTTAAAAATATAACATTTATTCCCGATTTAAATAGAATTAGTTAAACAAGTACTTAGGTTTGCTGCATCAGGGAGGGTAAAACTGTTTTTTTTTTGTAAAATGTTAATAGTTAGTAAGAAATAAAAACATTTTCCAAATTTGACCAAAATATGTTCATTAACAAGCAAACTACAACAGTTTACTTATTCTCCATAAGAATAACATTGGAATTTTAAATTTAAAATTTTTGGAATTTTCTCCATAATCATTAGGCGCATAATAACGCTTCAATGTACTAAATTATTTGTTTTTTAAGCTCTACAAAATGGTTTGGAAAGAAATTGCTAAATTTAATGTTTTTTGGGTCAAGAATGGGAAAAACCTATTTTTACCCCATAAAACCCCCCATAAACCCCCGTTCCCTTGGTCCGATCATGCTGGATCGCGAACTCGTTTGAATAAACGTAGGTTAACACGTTTGTACCAAATTTCATCAAAATCGGATCATTTTTGCTCGAGTTATCGTGCTAACGGACACATATATAAATAAAAATATATAAATATATATATGAGTGAAAATTAAAAAACTTACGTTTTCATGTCCCTGGCCTTTTACTTCATAGATACTGAATTTGTAGTTTTATGTGTTTTAATATTTTTTGGACGGGGGCAACATGTTACACACATTTATTTGGTTTTAAATAGGTTCTAGGTATTAGCGAATTTCCCTATAGGGAAGTAGCTATTACCGTAGGTGGCACGGTAAGACCTAGACCCGGGACCGATTTACTTTTTCATTTTGATGTCCCCAGAGGCCAAAAACACCATTCGTTCAAATTTTTATATATGTATATATATATATATATAGACATATATATATAAATATACGTCCGTGAACGCGATAACTTGAGTAATTTTTGTCCGATTTTGATGAAACTTGGTTTAAAGGTGTAAAGCGGAATAAACTTGAATGAGTTCGCGAACCAGCACGATCGGACCATGGGAACGGGGCTTTACGGGGGGTTTTATGGGGTAAAAATTGGTTTTTCTCACTTTTGACCCTCAAAACACAAAATTTCCCGATTTCTCTTTAGACCTTTTTAAAGAGCTTAAAAAAACAAATAATTTAGTATATAAAAGTATTTTTGTTCGATTATTAGTAACGGAGAAAATTAAAAAAATTGTAAATTTAAAATTCCCATGTTATTCTTATGGAGAATATTGTCAAATGTTGTAGTTTGCTTGTTTATGGATATATTTTGATCAAACTTGGCAAATTTATTTATTTTGTACTAAGCTATCAATATTTTACTCAAAAACACACTTTATTAGTTTCCTTGTAGCAGCAAACCTAAGTACTCGTTAAACCTAATGTTATTAAAATATATTTAACTGAAAATCAATTCAGACAAATGGAAATTCGCTTAGTCGGCAGGTTTGCTGCAGCGGGGGTATTTTTTTCTTATTTTTTCAGTCTCGAAAATCACGACCATGACGTGTCCCTAGGGTACATTTTCCAACTTTCACACTGTTTTTTGACTAATTAATTATTCATGCCGAAATATATAAAGCCATATTTTTATGTCATCAATTTATTCATTATCAGTACCTAGGGACCGAGCTTTGCTCGGGGAAAATCATTAGTTTACTCTGAAAGCAGTCTTAGTATTGCAGATACATAAATCCATTCCCAAACTCCACATTGCTTGCCTTTACTACTTCTTTCACCACTTCTTACGTCGCGGACCTGTTTCCCTCCGTTCCCATCACCATTTAGGATTCCAGATACCTTAATCTAATCTAATAAAATATAACCTAATCTAATATAATTGTCATAAACAGTTCCCACACTCCGGACTACCCGCCTTTGACTACTTCCTGCACCACTTCCTACGTCGCGGACCTGTTTTCCTCCCTTCCCATAGCATTTTAGGATTGCAGATACCCTAATCTTATTGTCATAAACAGTTCCCACACTCCGGACTGCTCGCCTTTACTACTTCTTTCACCACTTCCTACGTCGCGGATCTGTTTCCTTCCCTTCCCATAGCATTTTAGGGTTGCCAATACCCTTATCTAATCGTCATAAACAGTTCCCACACTCCGGACAGCTCGCCATGACTACTTCTTTCACCACTTCCTACGTCACGGACCTGTTTCCCTCCCTTCCCATAGCATTTTAGGAATGCTAATACCTTAATCTAATTTATCTAATCGTCATAAACGGTTCCCACACTCCGGCGCCTTAACTACTTCCATCACCACTTCTTACGTCACG